TCATGGTTAACCTGTCGTCCCCCAGCACTCCCAGTCCCTCTCCGCAGAGCTGCTCTCCAGCAGGTCCACCCCAAGCCTGTACTGGTGCATGAGGTTGTTCCTCCCCAGGTGCAGGACCCTGCATTTGCAAATTCCAGTTCACTTTCTTCTCTCTCCTTCCACCCGGTTGCTTTATCCATGTATCCCCATCTCACTTATCTCGCAAACAGGTAGTTGTAGAGTCCGAAGCACAGATTCCTCCCCGACCGTGTCTCCCCGGGAGCGTTTACGGTGCTGTCGCAGGGGGCCGCTGGCGCACGGCGTCTGGCGTGGGTTTGCTTCGCGTCCGCTGTTGGCTGTCCAGCAGCTCGTCGTTGGAGTGGAGATTTTTCTGCCTGGGAGGAGACGATTTACTCAGACGTGTGTTCTGCCCGCGTAGGAGCAGAAGGCCAGCGGCTGTCGCTGCGTGTTGTTTCATACAAGGGATTTAATACCAGTAGTGTAATCGATTAATGTTCTCTCTTTCAGGTTTAACAGATGAAAAAGTGAAGGCCTATCTTTCTCTTCACCCCCAGGTACTGGATGAGTTTGTGTCGGAAAGTGTAAGTGCGGAAACTGTGGAAAAATGGCTAAAAAGGAAAAACAACAGGCAGGAAGGTAAGTCCTTTTTATTTGTGATTCATATTTAGCACTGAACTGCTCAGTTCTTGGTTTTAGGTTTAGAAAGGAAATCTGGTTTTGGCAGAACTTGGCTGCTACAGTTTTTATGTCTAGGTTCCACCATTTTTTGAAAGGCAAAAGAGGTTAACAACTCTTTTTAATCTTTCCAGCCTTTTGGCATTTCGGTTTTGGAATATGCTGGTATTTGTTTTGGAGGCTCGGTTTACCCGTTCTGAGTTGTAAACACTATTCCACCAACCCGTACTATCTGTTATGTTAGTATTTGCTTTGAGAACATAATTTGACCATCTTGGATTTAAAACTGGTAAGTTTTGAATTAAAATGACGCGGTACGTGCAGCGTGCAAGCCTCAGTAAAATCCAGGCTATCCCATCTCAAGAGTTCCTACTTGCAGGGTGCATTAAGTCGCTTTTAGATGTGAACACTGACACGGAGGGGTTGCTTTAGGTGTAATCCCTCACTTAATAGACCCAGAAAACTGTTGCTTATGAGTTGACCTGCATTGACAATATCATAAATTTTGTAATGAACTTAAATTTTGTGAGACTGTGTGCAAACATAAGGTTCATGCAACTCTAACCGTGGTTGGGGCCATACCAGGTTAAAGGCAGAAGAGGAGATCAGCGAGAAGATGAGGAAAGAAACCCTGCTTTGACTCTGCACCTACATTGCTCCGTGGCTGGCTGCTGAGCTGCTTGGGGTTGACGTTCTGGTGACGGTTCCCATTTTAGGTCGAGGGGCTGTTGCTGCTTCCTGAAAGAAAACTGAGTGTTTTCTGCAGAATTATAGAAAAAGAAAATGGTGGGTAAGGGACAGGAAGGGCTGTAGCGAGGCAGATTTTTGGTGGTGTTGACGCTATGTTTGATGCTGAAGTGATAGTACATTTTTCTTGGTGTAATGAGGTTGCCTAATGGAAGAGTAAGAGCACGTAGCTGTAGACCGCCTGTTCACTGCTTTCCTTGTGGTTTACAAACTGCAGCACTGCAGGATGGCCATCGTTATAATCCACAAATGCAATCAGAAAAACAGTGTTATCAATCAAGTGAAGAAGCCATGACAATGCTTTCTGCAGACAGAAGGGAAAAAATACGTTGATGTTGCTAGAAACAAATACTACGTATTTTGAAGAGCTGTGTTGCAACGAAAATGAGGATTTTCTCGCAGCTGCTTGAAATTGCTAGACGAAATCATTGCTTGTTTGAAATATGGTTTATAGTCTGCGTCAAGGATCTGGATGCTAAAACTGAATGAATGTTTTGAATAGCACTGCAGCTTCCAGAATCTTGAATTGCGAAGTCGAATTTGTTACCAGTTGCTCAAAGTTTCCCTTTTTTAGGGGGGCTGACCTGAAAATACATTTTTGTGAAAGTCCGTAAAATTTGTTGAGCCAACTGCAAAAACAGTAACCGTTGTCTGAAGGAAGCTCTAGCACCAGTAGCTGCAACGGGGTGATTTCCCCGTTGTTTTCTTAAGCTTTAAAACTTCTGTTTTATGGCTGACTCTCCCTGACTGTTGAACTGAAAGTGTCAAGCAATAGTTAAGCCATCATCATCATTCAGCTTTATATCTGTGAGTATGTGATCTGACCTTAGAGCAGCTGCCAGTGCCTGGAGGGGCCCACAGGAAGGATGGAGAGGGGCTTTTCACAAGGGTGTGCAGGGATAGGACAAGGGGGAACGGCTCTAAACTCAAAGAGGGCAGATTTAGATTCGATATTCAGAAGAAATTCTTCCCCATGAGGGTGGTGAGGCCCTGGCCCAGGTTGCCCAGAGAAGCTGTGGCTGCCCCCTCCCTGGCAGTGTTCAAGGCCAGGTTGGATGGAGCTCTGAGCACCCTGGGCTGGTGGGAGATGTCCCTGCTGATGGCAGGGGGGTTGGACCCAGATGATCTTTAAGGTCCCTTCCAACCCAAACCATTCCATGATTCTGTGCTTCTATGATCATCAAGTGGGTCTCTCTGCCTGCCCTGCTACTTCCCTCGTGCTGACAGCAAGCTTTCAGGCGGCCGTATGTGTTGCCCTGCAGGCAGTTACGCAGATGTGGCTTGCTTACTGTTGGGTTTTTGGATGAAAATAAGCAGAACCGTATTTAAAACTGCACTTGCCAAGTCGAAAAGAATAATTTGAATGCATTTTGTTTTCAGAATAAAACAGATGCTGGTTAGCCTTATCTGTGATTTTCTTCCAGAAAGAGAAAGGCCATAGCCGTGTAAAATGTCTCTGATAACAAAACGTCTTCATCTCTCAAAAAACAACATTTTTAGGAAAGAACCTTGCTAGATGATCTATTCAGTTTGCATTATGTATGTACAAATCCAAATCCTGGTGCCGGAGTGACTGTGGTGGTGGGAAATGAGGAGGAGAAGATGGAGCCAATTCTTTTGGCGTCAGCATGGACCCATGGTGACTTCAAGTGACTCCGTAGCCGGAGCCGCTGTCCGTGAGTAGGGCTGTGATTTGCCCTGCACCCCTCGTGCTTCAGCGCAGTCTGCCTTGCAAAGCCTCGCGTCGTGTGGTGTGACACAGACAGAAGAGTAAGCTGCGTGTTTATTAGAAACCTCCCAGGCAGTCGGAACGCTGCTTTGAGATCTCTGGCTTAGCGTCCGTGCTCTTGCACGTCGGTGACGCGGAGCCGTCGCTAGCAGAGGTGACGTCCTGCCCGGCTGCGCGGACTCCTCGGCCAGAAGTCCGGGGACCCGCAGCCAGGACCGTTTATCGGAATTTCGTTAGCATCAGCATAAACTGACATGTCTGATTTGGACTGAAATGAACCAAAAGTTATCTGTGGCTGAGTGTCACTGAATTAGTTACTTCAGGTGGATTAGGAGGAGTGTGGCCAGCAGGTCGAGGGAGGTTCTCCTTCCCCTCTACACTGCCCTGGGGAGGCCTCATCCGGAGTACTCCGTCCAGTTCTGGGCTCCCCAGTTCAAGAAAGATGAGGAGCTCCTGGAGAGAGTCCAGCGCAGGGCTGCGAGGATGGTGAGGGGACTGGAG